CAAGAACAACAACAACAACAACAACAACAACAACAACAACAACAACAGTAACAACAACAACAGCAGGAGCAGCAGGAACAACAAGAGCAACAGCAACAGCAACAACGACAACAACAAAGGAGACGGCTCTGCGTTTTGCTGCCCGAGGTCCGCGCTGCAAGAGCGCGTTGAGGGGGTGCTTCGCAACATGGGCCTCGCGCAGGGCTTGGCGAAACCGGCGGAAAGCATCTCAGGACGATTTTCGGGCGCGGACCTTTTTGCCACTCCGCGATTTGTCCACGAGAGAAGACAACGTGGCCTTGTAGCGGCTGCCGCGTAGAACATCTGGTTAGAGTTCAACCCGTCACTGCGAACGGCCTAGGTTGCCCGCCTGCGTGGCCACAGTTAAAACCAGCGAGCCAGCAGCTTTCTGCCGGTTTGTTGACTGTGGGTTTGGGAAGGCTCCTTCTGCGGCTGGAGCACAAGAGTTCAACCTTGTGAGTTTTGCAACCGTGGGAGAAGGTCGCAGTCCAAAGCTGAGCTACCGCCCTTTTTGTTCGCGGGTTTTTTCACGGCAGCCTTATGCTCCTCGACAGATTCGATCCAAAAACAGGACCCACCGGCGAATGTCATTTCTGGCTTGGCTTTGCAGCTGCATTGCAGGGGTTTAGACCATGCTTTGAATGAGCGCAACAATGTGAAGTGTGAAATAGCAAGGATGTGTCAACACTGGGACCTGATCCAAGTTCATGGGTTTCATGTCATTTGTTTTGCACTTGCCCCCGCAAAAGCTTGCCTATCAGGGTTTGCTTCCAAGGGGTCTCTTCAACGGGGACCGTGTCAACGACTCGCATCTGACCTCATTCCTACTCAATGGTTTCTGGGCTGTTTCCAAGACAAATCGAGCCCCCTGACTAGATAGAGCAATCGCCTTTTTGACATGGCAGATGCCCTTTCGCTTGATCCTTCCGTTGGGCCTTCCGCGTTCTCAGTGCGATAGCCAAGGCCTCTCGCATGAGGTCCGAGATTGTCACGGAGGGCGGCTTGCGCGGGGCCGAAATGGTAGGGGAAACGGACACTGAACAAATCCATTTGCTCATGGAAGTCGGCGCGTGGGTCTTGTTTCAAGTCGGTGCCCTTAAGTGCCTTTGAAGGACGGCGAAAGGGATCCCAATTGATTCCACGAGGGGCATTAGGACAATTTGTTCTTAGAAATTGCCAGCCGCTTCCGGCTGAACCCCCTCTTTAGGATGGTGTTTCAAGGAACATAAGAAGGACAGTTAAGAGCGAATCGTAGAGATTCTGTAAATACCCAGCATCGAAGCAAGCAACTCAAAGGCAATCCCAACGGGCGGTTTGTTTAATCCAGTCAGGTGATGTTGGGCGGAAATCTAGAAGCGCATTGGAGGGAGCCACTTTACAGAGGTTCCTATGGAACCACGCAGCCCCCCAAAGAAAATAAGTAGTAGGGAAAATGGATAGAGCAGCCTTACCCCTTGGCCACTCTAATGAAAGGGATGACACAGGGCGCACTCAACAAATTATTATCAGGCTGGGGGGATGTGGCGCCTTACCAAATTCTCATGTGTGACACCCGTGTTGACCTTGCAGGCAAAATGAGTTTGAGTTCTTTCGATTTTCCAAGCACAGCAGCGCCCAATTACATGCTGCGAGAGGTGTTTGATGGAAGCTGTAATATCTTGGTTGTCTGAACAAATCCCTGGACCTGATGAACCTTCCTGCTTTCCAATGAACAAGGCAATGGAAGACTGGTTTTTAAAGCGCCAGCTGTTCGCTTATAGACGTTTCAATTGTTTCTCCGTGTCTTGCTGCGCTGCTGCACGCTCAGGTCTGTTGACACGCTCCTTCTGCCAGACACAAAAAGAGACGAGGGCCAGGGCTGACCTGGTGCTGTGGCCGAAACGCTGTCTTTTGGTACAATGCTTGGTAGCAGTTTCAACAGCAATGACCTCAGAAGCAACGACCAAACGAGCAAAGACGTGACCAGCTGAGCTGGATAAACACCCGTGAGAAAACTGGGTCTGGCCTGTCAACTGAGCAGGTCAGAAAAATGGTTGTGTTCGAAAATATCACTTCGATGCCGAAGCGATTGAACAGTGCTGTGAGTTGGAGTACGTATTTCTTGAACCTGGGCCAGGACATGAAGATAGTCATTCTCCTTTGCGAGTCAGACATGTTTGGGTTGCCGCGTATCTGCACGATCAAAAGAGTTGCAACTGCGTTCTAATTTTCGGGGCCTGCGGCCCCCAGCCGGCTACGCCTCTTTGAAGTTATGCCATTGCTATGAGAAACGTGTGAGAAACGTATCCTGTGCTATGATATGGCTGGTTAGGTTATGCATGTTGCCCACCCCAACCCCAGATAATGCCGGGGATGCCGGCTTTCTGGGCCCCAGCCGGGCCAACCCAGAAGGCTGACATGGGGTCGCGAGCGCGCGCCCGAGGGTGCAGAAAGAGCAGCGTTTTGTGGCTGGGGTCGCGCGCGCGCGCCAGAAGGCCCGAAAGCCAACGGGAAAAAAGCAAGGACCGCGCAGCACGCGAGCCAGCCACAGCAAAAGCAAAACGGACAGAACAACAGCCCACCGCTCAGCACAGCAGTTTTTGACGGTATTTACAGCGTTTTGTAGAGCGAGGGCCCAGCGTCGCCGGCATGCCCGGCAGCGCTTGGCGCCAAAATGCGCGAAAATGAGCCTTGCTAATATCCCTCCGACACCTTCAAAAAACAGTGCTTCATGGGTTGGGAGGCTTTTTGGAAGGAAGTCTTGATGATGCAGACCAAGCCCCGCTGAAGCATCACCCAGGCCCAACCCCAGACCCTGATGATGTCAGCCACATGGCCTGCATATGCAAGCCCGAGCTGGTGATGCAGAGCCCACTCAGGCGACGCATCACGACCAAGTAATGAGGGTCGGCGGCGCACGGGTGCCTGCCCCTATAGTCCGGCTACGCCTCCTTGGGGTAGCATGTCGCCGCTAGGCAATTGGCCTGCTAGCTTTAGCTATAGGGGCTACACCCTGGTGCCGCCGACCCTCGCCACTAGGTCGTGATGCGCGGCCTAAATCCGGCACCTCTGCATCACCAGCTCGGGCATGCGGTTTTGCTTGACTGTGGGAAACCCTCGCGAAACATGGGTTTAGGCCATGTGGCTGACATCGTCAGGGTCTGGGGTTGGGCCTGGGTGATGCTTCAGCGGGGCTTGGTCTGCATCATCAAGACTTCCTTCTTTGAGACAAGCATGCGACTACTGGCAGGATCAACCAGGCTTGTCCATTATTGTGACGCATCCTCAGCATCACCAGCAGTCATCATGATAAGCGTGTCCACGCATCTGTTGCATTTGAACTAGGATGATAATCATCATGACGCATCCTCAGCATCGCCAGCAGTCATCATGATAATCATGACTACGCATCTTGTGCATTTCAACTCGGCTGATAGTCAGCAATCATCATGATAATCATGTCCATGCATCTTATCTCCAATCCGATGATAATCATCATGACGCATCCTCTGCATCGCCAGCAGTCATCATGGTAATGATGACTACGCATCCTCTGCATCACCAATAGTGTCTAACACCACACTTGATTGAAATGTGCGGTGTGGAATATAGAAAGAGACGGCGATGATTACGATGATGAGGATGATGATAATGTGATGAGGATGTGATGAGAACCATCACTAGCACTCGTCCCCAACATCAGTGATGATGATAGGCATTATCGTGCGTCCTCTGCATCACCAACAGTCACAATGATTATCATGACTACGCATTCTCTGCATCTCCAATCGGATCTGACGTAGTGATGGTGATAAGCATCATCATGCATCCTCTGCATCACCAACCCCAAAATCAGTGATGATGATAAGCATCACCGTGCATCATCTGCGGCACCAACAGTCATCCATGACTACGCATCCTCTGCATCTCCAATCGAGTCTGACGTAGCGTTTGACACGTGTATGAAAAAGAGAAGGACGATAATGATGATGATGGTGCTGTGATGATGATGTGATGATAATGTGATGAGAATCATGAGTAACGCTTGTCCCCAACATCAGTGACGATGATAAGCATCATCGTGCATGCTCTGCATCACCAACAGTCATGTTGATAAACAGGACTACGCACCGTCCACATCTCCAATCGGGTCTAACGAAACGTTGGAAACGTGTGTGAAAAAGAGAAGGACGAAAATGATGATGATGATGTGATGATGATATGATGAGAATCATCACTAGCGCTCGTCAGTGATGATGATAAGCATCATCGTGCATCCTCTGCATCACCAACAGTCATGATGATAATCATGACTACGCATCCTCTGCGTCTCCAGTCAGCTCTAACGGGACCACCAGCAGTCATGATGATTCACCAGCAACAAATCCGACGAATCAGACCACTTGCGGAATGGGTCGGATGCACCGGCCACGCATCGCCAACATCGAATCATCACTAGCGCTTGTCCCCAACATCAGTGATGATGATAAGCATCATCGTGCATCCTCTGCATCGCCAACAGTCACGATGATAATCATGATGCGATGATGCTATGATGAGAATCATCACTAACGCTCGTCAGTGATGATGATAAGCATCATCGTGCATCCTCAGCACCACCAGCAGTCATGATGATAATCATGACTACGCATCCTCTGCATCACCAATGGTGTCTAACGTCACAATTGAAATGCACAGTATAGAAAGAGGTGCTGATGACTGCGATGATGATGATGACGAGATTGATGACGAATCGAACCATCAGCATCAAGACGCATCCTGAGCATCGCGCGGACTTAATCTTTGAGACAAGCATACGACTACTGGCAGGATCAACCAGGCTTGTCCATGATTGTTGAGGTGACGCATCCTCAGCATCACCAGCAGTCATCATGATAAGCTTGTCCGCGCATCTGTTGCATTTCAACTAGGATGATAATCATCATGACGCATCCTCAGCATCGCCAGCAGTCATCATGATAATTATGACTACACACCTTGTGCATTTCCACTCGGCTGATAATCCATGACGCATCCTGATCATCACCAGCAATCATCATGATAATCATGTCCATGCGTCTTATCTCCAATCGGATGATAACCATCATGACGCATCCTCTGCATCGCCAGCAGTCATCATGATAATCATGACTACGCATCCTCTGCATCACCAATAGTGTCTAACACCGCACTTGAAATGTGCGGTATAGAATATAGAAAGAGACGGTGATGCTTACGATGATGAGGATGATGATAATGTGATGAGGATGTGATGAGAATCATCACTAGCACTCGTCCCCAACATCAGTGATGATGATAGGCATTATCGTGCGTCCTCTGCATCACCAACAGTCACAATGATTATCATGACTACGCATTATCTGCATC